AAAATAACTACTTTTGTCTTTAATTAAAACACGAGACGATCATAAATAATAAGAAAAAGCGTTCTTACTAAGAACAAAAAACAGCAATAAAAGTAATGGCATCCTGCCACAAGACTCAGATGTCCAAATGTCTCGTGTCAGTTTGAATAAAATTTACCGGACCCCGAGATTTGGGCACAAAATATGGAATGATCCAACTTTTTCCCTAACGATATTACTTCTTTTCAATCGACGGGTCGGTATCGTAAATCCATATGTAAAAATGAGTATACGAATATAAAGAATATCATCTTTTATAACTATACATTTATAATTCCTCGTGAATATCAGCTTTATTAATTAAAAAATAAGTACATCAGTTTCATTTTATTAAAATAATTCTACCAATTTTGTGTTTATGTTATAAAATAGTTAACTATTAAATGCTGTGGAAAAATAATAATGCTGTAAGCAGAGTTAAGAAGCAACAGTTATTTTTATATGCTAACAATAAAAAATATTGTTAGAAAATTAATAATAGCGTCTTACTAGGAAACACAAATAATGTAAACTTGTCGTTCCAGTTTAGTATGGGCGAGTGTATGTTACCCGCAGATAGCGGAAACAATGATGTTTATATTATTTATTCATTATTATTGATAAAATTAATGAAACATGGTTATTTTTAAAATTTGTTCCATTTAAGCCTTATAATTAACATTAAAACGTATACGTGATAAACTAATATGAATGCATAAATAAATTATATATCTAGAGTTGTTGGCCTAAAGATTTTAATAAAGATATTAACTAACACTTTTAATTTTTATAAAGAATCCTGCAGATACATATAACTTAAAATATTTTTTTAAGCAGGAAAGGTATATAAATAAATATTTAAATCTCTTAATAATACTATTTCGCTTCGCTTGTTGGATGTTCCCGATTCAACTCCTAAGCCTCTTTACTGGCTCTTCTCGTATTCAAGGCTCGCGGAGTTGTTTGCTCCGCTATTATTCGATGTTTGCTCTTACTTTGTCGGGATACATGTATACAAAAGGTTTTTGCAGGATTTTTGTGTGAATGTTCCAGGTTTTCGAGTATACTTCTTAAATGGCAGAAAGCTTTCCATGTAGATTTCTTATATCGACAATGTTTACTAATTTCAAGTTTGGAACTATGATTTATTAAAACATTATTAACATTTAAAAATAAAAATATCTTTAAATATGGATACAAAGGCAGTATAAGTGTCTACAATAAATTAGAGATTTAGGATTATTTCGAATGTAAACATTAAAATTTTAAATTTGTGTACTTCTACGCACACTTACTATTCCTTATATTGTAAACACGCATTACACACGTATAATATACACGCACTATAAAATTATAACAACATAAAATGTCATTTGCTGACCTTAAAAGTTCAATGAATAGACTTACTTTCTATTTAAATTAATTTCTATTTTTAAAATAACAGATCTGTATATTTTAGAGACAATAAAATGTACTTCTTAAAAAATTAATAACGTTTCATTGCACAACATTCGCAACTCATTTAATTTGTCCCATACGGAAGGTACCAATAGAATGATACCTATAAATAAAATGGTACCTTTATAAATAATGTAATTTACATTAATTAAAGTAAGATTTTATTTCCAGAAATATTATAGTATGTAGCGAGGGGCCCAAAAATCATAGACTAATAATTAAACAAAGAGTTTTACCTGTACTTACAACGGAATCTAGAAATATGTATATGAAATCCAAAGCATTAGAGGATACTATTATAAAAAATCTATTTTGATATATTAATAATTGTAACCTTCCTTTAAATATTTAAATATATTTAGCAAATTGACGGTTAATATAAGACATCTATAGTGCAAGTCGTAAACTAAAACAAAAAGTCGTATGAATGGGTAAAGTCTCCTGACTTCTTAAGAGGTGGCGCTACGCTCATTTGTTTTAAAAAACTAATAATTTTTTGAATTTTTTATACGAGTTTAATATAAGTAATTAGTACATGCAGTATGCCAGATATGAAATAACTTGTAAACGGGAGAACTATTTTTTTGATGATGATTTGTTATGAAGCAGATGTTGGTATGCATTTTAATTTTACTTTTTCTGTGATCAGAACATTACTGTGATAGATAATTAAATAAATTGTTCATCTAGACAAAGTAAATTAAGAAGTGTTATAGCAATGTCAAACAAGTTCTCCAAATCGACCTTCGTTGGGATTATGATTTTGTATGAAAAATAAGTCGACAAGATGGCGTTAACGCCAAATTTATATTTATTGTATTTTAAAAACAAATTTATATTTTATGTAATGTATACTGTATTGGACAATACACTATAACAAATACTTAAAATAAAACGTGATAGCGTTAATTTAAAAAAATACAATACATAAGTATATACAATTTTATATCGGGTAGATAATTTATTATTTTTACATAATTTGATACAATACACACGAAAATATAAAAAAAAAACAAATTGCAATCATAAAATATGCAAAAGTGTTTTTATTGCTGTAAGTAATCTCTTACAGACAACCTTAAGGCAGAGGAAACATTAAAATTAAAATATACTAATTCATTGAATATAACAACAAAGGTAAAAAGATATTTTACGCAATTATAATTACACTTTAAGTAAATATAGATTTAGTCATATATGTGATTTATACGGCAATAAATATACATAACTAGTTTTTGCCCGCGGCTTCGTCCGCGTTAGTTTCGTCTGGTAAAGTATCCAGTTAGACACTTCGGCTAAAAAGTATTTCATCTTGTTCATTCATTTGTTCCTCCTCATTTGTTTTATCTATAAAATTTTGTGTGTTAGTATATATGGCATAAAATTCAGGTGTTACTGAAATGGTTCTTTAAAGGTTTATTAATTTACAAGATGACATATATTAATATATTGTTTGTGTTTATTCATCATCATCAGTGATTTTATTTCTTCAGTTATGTTATCAGCAAGATGTTTAATTTGATTATCATTTACAATTCTTAAATTGTAGCTTACTACAGTTACAATTAAATTGAATATTTTAATATTACTATGACCATTTTCACCTTGCAGGATTTTTAAAAAATAGCTTTGAAAATCGGCCAAGAAACTTGAATTATACTATATGAAGATGCACAAAACTGCTCTGACTTAAAAGGGGCGACAATTATATGTTAGGAAGATCGCGTTAAGATAAATAATTAACAGGAATTTATCCTTTATATGAAATTTCTAAACAGAAGGTTATAAAACGTCTCATTAAGACTATGATCTAATGCGGTTTTTGGACAGTTTATAGGGATTAGAATTTTTATTCACTTTGGAAAGTTTGTATTTTTCGGAATAAAAGTATATTTGCTACAAAAATTTACGATTTTCTCCATTGAGTTGTAGTAAAAATATTGTTTTTTTTTTAGTGTTATCTTATAGACTTGCTTTATAATACAACAAAAATTTTTTCACATAAATTCTGAGTAACCTGTTTGAAACATGGCAAGTACTAAAGTAATTTTTCCAAGATATATATACTTTCTAAGAGTTCTTAGACAACACTAACAGACGGTGAAGGAAAACATCGTGAGGAAACCTGGACTTATAATTTGAAAATATAAGTTTGAAATCACCAACCCGTCTTGAGCAAGCTTGGTGATTAATGCTCAAACTTTCTCCATGTCTTTGCTCAGCAGTGGTCTCTGATGGGCTTATGATAATGATAGTTATAATAAAAACGTACTTTTAGAGAACAATATAAATAAAACAGCAATATAGAAGTATAAGTTATAATAAAAGTTCATATAAGTAAATTACAGCATTAATAGATATAATATAAACTAGCACAGTGTTCGAAATATATAATAAATCGTGAGCATATTTTATTTAAAGATACAAATGACTTATTTTATAATATCTTGCATTATTCAAAGTTCGAGTGAGACATCAATTCTTCCCCTAATTGGAGTGTCACCCGCACTTAATAATTGATGAAATATTTCAATCATGAATGATGTCTAAATACCAATTACGTATCTACATATTTTCCGCTTGTGCGTCTGCTTTTCATTGGTCTAAGCTCTCACAGTGCACAGTTAAGCCTTATATTACTTATGTGTAAATTTCCCCGACTTTACACATGGAAACTTTAAGTGAAAAATAAATAAAGAATTCTTAAAATCGATTCACAACTCACTCATAGACATTTCTGATTTCGGCTCTAATCAAATTAAAGCTATACGAAACTCTTAATATATTGAAAGCGACATATAAGCTTTCCATCTTGAAATGTCTTACCACAATCGAATCTCAGAACACTCCCATCGAAGGAGGTGGTCCCCAATGAAAACATTATCTTAATTGTTTTGCTTATCATATAACTAAGACTTATTAGAACATCTAAGGCAAGGTATGACAGAACTAGCATCCTTATGAGAAAAAATAGAAATAAGTGGCTTAATCTTAAATTTAATAATAGACTTTAAACTTTCATACTACAAAAATGCTAAGAAGCAAAAATTTTATTGCCAAAAAAGCTAAATCTTCACACGATAACTATTCATCTAATAAACCTAATAATAATGGATATAAGTAGTGCACTACACTTAATATTATATTGTGTCTAATTGAATAAATCTGTAACATATTATTATGATAACTTTTATATTCTTAACATTATATTATGATTTTTATTTAATTAAAAATTGTATCGATGACAGAAAAACTCCACGCATTTTATTTAGAGGCACTTAACAAGTGGCTGGTTATGAAAGATATATTAGTGCACGAATTTATTGCTATATAGCACAAAATCTTAATTATAATTAGCTAAATATAATGTCGAAGTTTATCACAAACATTGTAAGCAATTGGACTATTTGTAATATAAAGTCCATCGTTTACTCATAGACGTTATGATTTATTTTTGTAAATATTCGTCTCTGTTGTTATATATTGACGTATATTTAATATATATTATATAATAATTTGGTATATTAAGCATCTGGTGCACGAATCTCGACGGTCACAGATGCTGGTCCAGCGGCTGTTGGCGACCTTAAGATTGCTGATCTCAAAGATGTGGCCGAATGTCCACTACTAGCTCTGGATCCACGACGGGAACCTTAAATAAAATTACATTGACTATCGTAAGGAAAATAAACCAATCTCAACCGACTTCAGAATAAAAGAAACTGATTTTTATTACTTTTGAATTAATTAAATTGAAGAAACGTAATATAGGCAGTCAATACATAAATTAAAGTGAGATTTTATATACAGAACAAAAAATAATAAATGTTACACGAGTTCCTCTTATTTCAAAGCCGGTTGAAAATACTATTTTATTTTATTATAACAAGCCCATTTGATCAATATAACAAGGTACATTTTATATCCATGCTGATTTAGAATAATTTTAAATATAACGATTTTTTTCGTTACTTTTCTATTTAATAATTAATTTCAATCCTACTTGCCTGTAAGCATTAGCTATTTACTTTCTAAATCATGAAATGGTAAAGTAAATTAATTCATAAACGTTCTCCAAGTTCTCAAATTTTTAATAATAAGTAATCTATTCAAGATAATTCTTATTAAAATTTTATTAAACCATGCTTATTTTATCTTCGCTTACTTTTTGTGTGCTAGGAGTGTTTAAACAATAATCAACTGTTCAAAAATGAATAGGCTACAATAAAGCAGCGTCAATTTCAAAACAACTGATTAATTATCAATCAACTCCTATCTACTGTTGTAGGATAATTATTAAATATATTCTTACGATTGTCTTTATAAATCGTCATGTGTAAATAAAATGTTTAATATAGAACTTTGAACTTACAAAGCAAGGTAATAATTATCATGCATATTGCAAACAACTAAGCACCGCAAAACGTGGCAGAAATAAAATATATATTCCAAATAACCTGAGGTCTTTCGGTGTAGCTGATGGCTTTGGTGATGTCGTGCTGCTGGTAGATGAAATTATGTATGAGATTTGTGAGTTCATCGTATAAGCGAACATTGAGATTTTGTAAAACAATAAAAAAATATAACAAAAAGAATTAAAGACACCACAAGATATGCTATGCAAAATTTATTTAAAAAAATGTTCAAATATTACCTTCTCCAAAAATATAAACGGTAACATATTTTGTAACTCTAAAATTGTTATTGTGATAACAAATTTTAGTTTAAAAAAAGCAATTAAATTATAATGCGACACGAAGCTCAACGTAATATAACAATAACAACTGTTTAACTCAAAGATACTACAAAGATAAAAAAAAGAATCAAAGTAAAGCATTTTAAGATAAAGTACCAGGAATTGGTGAATGTGGTCTAAGTTCCTGTTGACTGGCTTGTCGTGATGGAGGGCGCATGCTAACACGGGAGCCGCGACGATCCTGAAATATGACAATAAGAAAACATTAAAAATGATAATGAATAAACATAATTGTATTGTCACCAAAATCAAAAGTGTATACAAAATTTCAGATTAATCGGTTGACAGGAAAAGGGAAATTTGAATTACTAAATTTGACCCCAGAAATATGAAAAAATAATAAATAAAACAAACGGGGTGAGCTAAAAAAGACTCTATACGTAAATGTGCATACATTTAGTGCCATTACGCTAGACATTGCGTTAACGTTTCCACTTAAAATTTCATTTAGACCCCACAAATTTATATATGTATATTAAAATCACTTTTTGGATTTAATATTTCATGTTTATTCTGTTTTATTTTGCATATTCTCTCATAATCATTGTTGGTAGATATCTTAGCTATAAAGATATATTTAAAAAGAATGTAACAGAAATAATAACGATAATTTCCGCCAGAAATAATCATATTGATATGCAAACTAAGTATTTTTTGAGTTGGTGTCTGCTTACAACAAAATATAAAAGTTTTTTTATATAAGATAAATAATATAAGTTGTAAATTATAATAGACGTAGAAGATATTACAGACACAAACGTTTTTAAAATTGTAAAAATATAGTGCATGAAACAGTTATAGTATGTAAACTATATAAATGCTTGCTCGGAATATTATTCATGAAAATATTAACCTACCTGAGCATGAAGTAGCTTTGAGTCACGTAACAGAGATACGTTCATGAGTCGAGGATTGGGTGTGTTGAATATAGTGCGATTCTCCCGCCATCTAGCTCTGAAATATGAGATAAAAAATTATTGACATTTAATTTAAACCCATTATTTATATATGTAGTTGAAGAATTGGCGATATATTCAAGAGTTTTATTATAAAAATCGTCGTAATCATCAGCCTATTAGCGCCCACTGCTGAGCAAAGACTTCTCACAGTGAGAAGATTTGAGCATTAATCATCACGCTTGTAAGACGGGTTGCTGATTTCAAACTTATAATTGTGAAACTATAAGTCCAGGTTTCCTCACGATGTTTTCCTTCACCGTATGTCAGTGGTGTCTAAATACTATCAGAAAGATAGATATAAAAATCAAGATAACGCAATGAAATCACTAATTTGATATATACTGGAAATAAGTAATTTGATGACGTCGAATATATTTTAGCATAAAGTTTCAATAACTTACCTGCTAAACAAACGTAGGACCACGCAGATGATGACAAACATTAGAGCCATTCCAACCAAAACACCGATCATAGCCGGATCCAGTGTCTGCGTGGACTCCTCAATTTGCTTGACCGCTTTTATTTGTAAAAATTTAAACAAGTTTTAATATTGTATAATACAAAAAATTTCTTAGAGTTGTTTGTGTCTTGAGTCTTGACGAATAGAAGACATGGAAATCAGACTTAAATCAGCGTCAATTTAAAGCCAATTAATATTTGTTTTTTTTTTAGATCATTTCAGAGGATTATAATAAAAATACACAAAAACGGAGGATTGAGTCATCAATTTTTGACTCTGAGCCCAAGATAGAATAAGTATAAATCGTGTTAATAATGTGTATAATATATTTTAATGTCAAATAATGTCAAACTTACGGTTACAAACAACACCACCATCTGAAGTCATTTCCGCAACCATTTCATACTTGCAAACACAACGATCGTTTCTGCACTCAGTTTTGAACACCATTTCCTCGCATTGTTCATTGAAGATACACGTTTCGTTTACCCCAGCCGCTGATTATTCCGAAAATAATTAAAAAATCAAATTTATCTGTGTGACCTTCATAGATGTTCAAAACAAACAATTATGTGACTACGATTTCCATATATGGGAAAAAATCTTTAAGCTACCAAGTTTTCTTTGCAAGGGAAATAAATAAAATTTTAAATAAACATTTATCACTAATCGCGTTGCTTATTTTGTTTTTTTTTTTACTTTTTACTAACATGGATTCAACTTTAAAATGGATTTAATAATAGCTCACAGTTTTCTATATAAAACTTTGTTGATTAAAATAACCTATTAACAATATTAAATTACCTATTTACGGATATTCTGAAATAATGAAAATTGACAAAAGGAAATAATTTTTTATGTAAATAGATGTGGGCAAAACTGGAGGTACAAATTAAATATTTTATAATTGAAAAATATAGCTAAGGTTTTTTAAGTAAATAAAGTAATTATTAAAAGTTATAAATGAATGATTCGTTCACAATCATTTCACCGTATATCAAACTAAATGCTTAAACCTCAACATGCAACAATTCTCAGGCAGATAAAATCAAATTTTCACATGAAATAGATGTTTTAAATATAAATGTAGAGTTATACTTCGAAAATGTATAATTAAAAGTAATATTTTTGGTATCATTTGATACTGGCATAAAATAATTACTGCATTGCATTATACACATTGACGTGGTCGTGGACACGCGACGCCCCACTTTGGGGAAACATGCATCGATTTTGCTGCATTTTCATGTTGTCCTGATAATTAACAGTTTAAAGTAAACTAGGTTACGACCTTTTTAAGAAATCTTTTATGGTAAACGTTATGAGACTCATTGTTTCGCTGACAATGAACGTTTTATTTTAATCTTACAGTGAGCAGTTCAAAATTCTGAAAGCGTGTCAAAACCACCTTGCTGGTGTAGATTAAGTCGGATAATTGATTCAAAGAATAAAACTATTTTATATAAGTGTAAATACAAATTTTACTCTGTTAAGATAGTAAATATATATAAACTTGATATAATATGTAATACATTTGTATAAAAAGATGATTTCTCACTATCTCTGCATTTGTAATGAAATATTTTAAATTGGGCTTGGATCCTGGAGAATGTAAATGACTCTGACTGTGTGGTATATTTTGTCATAAACGACATAGAGCCTACCTTTACGATATCTCTAGCCAAGAGGGCCCTTTGGTGATAGAGCGTAATCGATCTCTTTCTATACATTTATTACTAGCGGATTTGGAAGAGGTCATGTTTTAAATATCTTTAATTGGGTGGCTTTATTGGTAAATTAGAGATTCCACTTCAGACCGAAGTCTATTAGGATCCATCGTCTAGCTATTGCTATGGTCAAGGTTAAGGGTGAATGCCTTATTTCTAAGGAAAACCGTACTTGGAATACTTATTAGGTTTAGGTATAGATCTAAAGGGCCCTCAAATTAAGTTTTAAGTTTAAATTAAGTTTAAATTAAGTTTATTTTTGGGCAGAAAATATAATGGCAGATGACTCGTACATATTTGACTTTTTGGCATTTTTCAATAGAATTTGTCAAATTGTATGAGATAAACAGAGTATTAAGGCGGTAGTTTCTATTAATGGGTATTAAAAAGTAAGTAAGGATATTTTTTAGGAAAGTAAAAGAATTATAAACGTTGGTACAACCGATTGATGCAACTCTTATAAACAGATCGGAAAGGATATAATTTTTGCTTATGTTGAAATTTTGATTACAGGGTATAAAATAGATTCTTTAAAAAAATAATACTTTATCCTCACTTCAAAAAAATAGCTGTTGTCAGCATTTAGACTGTGAGTTTAGTTGGTTTCTTTATAAAAGTTACACATGAATTTCAACTTGATACCTATTGATTTTATATTAAATCCGGATTGATAAAAAAATTTTACGTTATAATTATCAAAACTAGAACGCAAATACATATATTAAACTATTGTGAATTAGTTCGTTTGTTTTGTTTAATCTCATTTTCCAAATTTTACGTAACAGTGCATTAAATATTGAAATATTCAATAGTTATAACGCAATGTAAGTATCTGAATATGGTTAATGGGATGATTAAAAATATTTTAATACCAGGCAGAATCCCTAGGGTTATAAAATAAACAAATGTCTTTTAAAACAATGCATTTAGAACTAAGGTTTAGTGAAACCATATCAACAGTTACTGTCACGCGAGTATATAATGACCCTAACGTTTTACGTTTTTTAAAGTATTTAAATAAAACAGTTCTTACTTAAGTTAATTAAATAAAAATTAAATTTATTTTAAAATAAAAATTCATTTTCAAGTAAGACCGTTTAATCTATAAAAATTTGTTTATGACTAAGTTAATTACATACGCTTAAGTATTCATTATTCAATACTTAACTCAAAAGGTTCCACACGAAACTCAAGAAGTTTTAAAGAAACCTACTCTGCAAGTCGTATGGTAATTAACACTTACAAAGTTTTGGAAACCTTAATGGTAATTGATAATGCATAGATTCGCTTAAAAGGTTTGATAATAATTATTCAATAACATTACTATTAAAAATATTACATATAAAATATTACATACGCTTTCAATATGATATATTGCATATAAAATTTATAAACTGTTTTGGGCACTAATAGTTGTAAACATTTGGACCCTTTTAGGGACTCACTCAAAACATTTCGTTATAAGTTTTTGTTCAGCGATAAATTAAATAAATAACTTTTACCAATAAGTTAAAACGTTTTTAATATAATGTAATAAATGATTTATAAACTTCCTAATATTTGCATGCTGTATCTGCCTTAAAAGATAATGCATTTAGAATTAAGCTACACTGTATTTCTTTTTACCCAATATTGTATTAATGTAATTATCGTTGGTGGATCTTAAATAAATAAAAAAAAATACTCACGTTTACCACACTTGTCCACATGGTTGGTAACAGGATAGTCAGAATGACAACGGCAGATCTTTTGTACTTCATCACAAATTGACTCCGGAAAGCCGCACTCCATAACCGTAGAACAGGCATCACCGTACATCATATTACCACGTTTCGATGGATCTAACAATGAACATAACAATATTTCCATTACAATTTTATTAAATAATATTATTGTCATCAGCCTATCAGATGCCCACTGCTGAGCAAGGCCTCTTTCTCACATGGAGGTTTAAGCATTAATCACCACGCTTGCTCAAGACGGGTTGGTGATTTCAAACTTATAATTGTGAAACTATAAGTCCAGGTTTCCTCACGATGTTCGTTCACCGTATGTCAGTGCTATCTAAAAACTCTCAGAAAGTACATATGACTCCGAAAAATCACATTGGTACTTGCCAGGTTTGAACCCGCGCTCTCAGCAACGAGAGGCGGGCCTCTTAACCACTAGGCCACCACTGATTTTTGATAATAATATCATTATAAAACAATTTTTATTACAATTTCATACAATGCCGTATCTTTAATCATTTTTAAAATCTTTGTAACAAAAAAATTTCCATTTAAAAAAAAAGTTAAAGAGAAATGTCGTTTTAAAATATGCTGTACATTTTAAAAAGGTAACTTTTTACGGTCTGTGAAACATGGTCTTTCAAGTAAGATTAAAACTGCATAGCTGAATTGTTTGGATTAGCACGCGGTTTGCGGGTCTCGCTAAATGTTTCCCGGGTCGCTTTTTACACTTGAACTTTATTACTCTCTCTTAAATGCATGTAATTTTTTTCTTCAAGGCACATCGTAATGATCTATCCAAGGTTAAATGTTGGATTTAAGATTGAAATATAGTGAAGATAAATTTTGTATATTTTTTATAAGTTTCAATTTTCAACAACTTAATATTTAATTTAATCATCGTATGTGTATAACTTCTACTTAATGAATCAAAGCACAAAATTCTTAAACTTCTCAAAATATTAATAGACATTTATTTCTGGAGGATTCTCCATAATGGAGTAATAAGCAATTTAAAAAGATTTTAACTATTTTTAATTCTAATATATTCTCCTTAATACTATTCTTACCAAACACAGCAGCGGTGGTGAGTTCCATTTCGGCCGAACAGCACCCAAACGCGAGCAGCGCTGCAAGCGCGGCCAGCGCAAGGCAGCGCTCGCCCCGCATGCTGCCCACCCGCGTCACATGCCAATAAAACTAAAAAATATAATTATGATCCATTTCAAAACTGACATTTTTAATATAATAATACTACTCAAAAAGTTGTCATACTTTTTTTGTTTCTATTACTAGTGCGATTCAGTAGAAACAATAATATTAATTTTTCTGTCACCTTAATCCTATATGAATATTATTCATTTCTGATAAAAGACGAACCATTACGAAACTTACATGAGAACGACATTCATTATTATAATGTAAAAAGTTTTAGGCGATCTTTATAATATATTCTTGACATCGAACCCGATCGAATTTAGGGTATTCAAATTCATGAAAATTTATTTAATTTTGAAAATCACGTGTACTATCATTCTATCTCAAAAAAACTCTGCAATCCGAAGAATCATGCTAGTTCAATCAAGTTCATATATGTTTATGTATTTACTAACTCAAGCTTGAATAGGTACATGATAAATTTTTGATGTCGTGAATATTTACTTCCATAATTTGAATTCCCATGTCATATAACAAATTAAATCTAGAAAACTTGCTTTGTTTAAACTTTAGAATCTTTATTTCATCGAAATAATAGAAAATATACATTGATTGAGTCAGTCATAGGTCATAATAGTTCAAGTACATATTTTTTTCATAATAAGCTACTCTCATAGAAACTAGCTTTTAATTGTTTAAGAATATAATGTAGTTTATCTGAGTTACCATACATTTTAGCTAGTATGCAAATGATCACTTATCTGACAGCAAAACGAATTTACTACTACTCAATTAATTAACCCGTTTCAATTATAATAATTGAAAATTATAATTAACCAAGTAGCTAATATGCATATTGAATTAATACTATCTAATCAGTAATATAATATTAGCCACAACCTTTGCTTAATAATTTAATCTCGCAAATCCAAACCAGACCGTCACATTAAATATGAACTAGAGGATTCATTGTAATTTGCGACCCAAAATGCTATATTTGAATTGGTAAATACTTTGGAAACAGCTGGAATACTGAATCTAGAATTAGCATTAACGTGCTGCAGCTTGAATATAAACTGGGCTTGAAATGGATAAAGATGCTATACTCTCAAAGACAACATTGAATTCCAAACTCTCAAAGACAATATGTTCATTATGTACATACTTTCAGAATATTTCACTTTGTTTTGCAAAAAAAAAGGAATGGTATGAAAATGTTTTATTTGGGATAAAGGACTTAATAACATTTTGTCCTTATTAATTTGAAGTTGCATAGCTGTAAAGGAAGTAAGAAGTTTAGTCCAATTAAGAAGTAATTCAGACTGAAATTGTCCGCAATTGCTAAATGGATCTTCTGTATTTTTCATATTAAATTGAAATTTTAGCTTTATGATGATGTGTACATTATACGCTTAAATTTCTTTGCCCCATTTTGAGAACCTTTAATTCATTGAAATATCCAAAATCATAAATAATATTTTTTTTAGTTACTACCTCCAAATATACTTCGAAATTGTATTCAGAGAGAAATAGTTATATCTATTTAATACTCACTTATGCAAAATGTATAAAATGGGGCCATCTTCTTTTATGTCACAAGACTTCTTACGCAATTTCGCAAATGCTATGCATTGTTACAAGGAAATTACACACAATTTCAGAAAACGTTCCCATATGCTATCTTAAAGTGCTAGCTATACTATTATCAAGTATATAAATGTAATATGTACATAATTTTTTTTTTCGGAGATACGGTTTCCACTTTAATTACCTCTTCATGAAGTATCTCATCGTTTCAGTGATAGGATACTTCTTAACTAAAAATAATCTATACTAATATTATAAAGCTGAAGAGTTTGTTTGTTTGTTTGTTTGTTTGAAAGCGCTAATCTCCGAAACTACTGGTTCGAATTGAATAATTCTTTTTGTGTTGGATAGTCCAGTTATCGAGGAAGGCTGTAGGCTATATAGGCTGTAGGCTATATATATGTATAACATCACGCTACGACCAATAGGAGCAAAGATATAGTGGTAAATGTGTAAAAAACGGGAAAAATTATTTCATCTTTGAAGCCTTCCGTTGCGTGCGCCGTGAAAACGGTTCAAGATACACAAAATATATGTATTAAAGAATAATAGCTCTTTTAATGATCTAAAAAACAGTCTGCGACAGTATATGTCTATCTTTTAAGATTAACTCACAAAAAACCGTTTTTGTGGTACATAATTTTGTCGAAATAATTTGTTTAAGTTGTATCAAAATAATAATATTAATCTTTATTCATATAAACAAATAAATATGTTGTTGGTTTAGAATACTTCATTATTAATAAAAAAAAACATAGGTTTCATCCTGAAAATTCTACGGGAACTCGACCATTCCGAAAACCCCGCAAGAACGGGAACTATGTGGGAAGAACCAAAAATCTGTCGGAAGTAACTATTCCACGCGAACGAAGCCGCGGCAAAAGCTAGTGACTTATAAAGCATTTTAAAATAATACTAGTAGTAATAAGTATTGAAATTGCAATACTCTGTTACTTACAAAATGGATATTTATTTATGTTGTATCCGGAATATTAAAGTATTATTTTTTTGTTTTAGTTCAAATTAGAATATTAAAATCTTAATAACAATATTTTTATAAATGACAACAATATAGTAGTAGTAGTATCTGCTTCTAAAATTTTTCAGAATATGCCTTATTATTGTTATAAATATTTTAAAATAACGAAATTTATTCATCCGATTAAATTTTAGTTCAGTTTTAGTACTGTTTCAAAATGTGATATTAAAGGAATAACTTTTATTTAAACCCCCTCATGTGATGTATGCTGACCAAAAGAGTTCAGAATATGCTAAAACTAATTTAAACTAAAAGGTCCCCAGACGCCAAAAGCTGTTAGTTGCTCCGCTATTAATATTGTTTAATTTAAAAGATGAAATTTTAAATTAATTCTCATTTTATAAGAGAAGTGGTTAAACTTAAACATAATTTAATATTTACTATTCAAGAGTATCAGTAAGGTCCTTTCTTAAATGTGGTTTCTGTGGGAAACCAAACAAAAGGATAAGTAAATTCAAAGTACAAACGCTTAGCTAATCCCAAAACAGTTTTATCAACTTAAAATTCGCCGAAACAGCTATCTTGTTTATTTATACTGTAGGCATCTGCAGGCTAACCTTTTTGGCTTACACAGAAGGACAAAGGTGACACAATATAAAATTATCTCTATATTTACAGGAATTGCACATTTATTCAACATTTTATATTCTAAACTATTCATTAAAAATAAACGTTGACTTTGGACATAACTATTTCTTTTTAATTATTACATTTAATTATATTATTTTTTATATAAATATGAAAAAACATCGTGTCGTCCCTAAAAGGAACTTTGATCTCGTTTAGCTAATTAAAACTTTTATGTTACAAGTACCCGAAGAATATTTTAAGTTGTTTGTAAAAAAAAACATTGTGTTTTTTGAGATTTACTGGCAGAAAATCCCAAGTTTTATGTAAATCTTATTCACCGCAAGAATAATTTGTTTTGAGGAGATAAAAACTTTTTAATGGACAAGCTTTTTTTATTTAACTGTATTCGTTAAATAATATATAAGAATATACATATATATATAAAATTTGAATTTGTTTTCTATATAAATAATATACTTTTTGGTAACGGAAATACCGTTCATCTGGCATCGTTAGAATTATCGGTAACTAGTGAAATGCTAATATGTAATATTGCTATATAACTAAGTACCATTTTGATTATTATAATAAAAACTAGAAGACCTGGCGAACTTCGTATCGCCCTATAATTAAGAAATATCTATTACGTTTTTTTATTTATATTTTTGGAATTTACCTGTAAGCCATAAATCTCCGTGTTTTGAAGTGCGACAGAATGATTGACATATAAGTAAGTTGTCAAATCTAATGTCAAAAAAACGTTTGTATGGGAAATAGAAAAGAGCTGTTTTTATGGTTTTCCCAGTAATGAATCAATTTTTCTCACCTTTTAAACCTTCCCTGAACCTCCACGAACATTTCAAGACTAAGATAAGATAAATCCGTTCAGCCGTTCTCGAGTTTTAGCGAGACTAAGGAACAGCAATCCATTTTTATATATATAAGAAGATAGAAGATAGAAGATGGTATATTTATTTTGGACAAAATTATAATAATAACGAATTACTATTTTTTATTAAAAATAACCTCAAGCTTTTAGTTTCTCAGTAGATAAATAATAAAGTTGCAATATAAGATTGCCGTAAAAAACTCATCTCCCGCGAATAGATTTTATGAACCGAACTTTTTTATGAATTCCCCTGGAGAATATGCATAAACTTTTTTTAATTTCATAAATATTACACGACTGACTTCATTAGCATATAGAAATAGTAATTATGGGAATTTGCAAACGTATATGCAACAGATTCTATTAGTCCATATGACATAACTTCTTTGATTTTGTTTTCAAAAATAAATAATAACTTAAAAAAAATAAGTATCCTATATATTCATACAATTTTTTTTTAATCTTGTTAATAATATAACTCAGGCTAACTTTGATAATTGACATTAACATTGTAAAGAAAGAAAAGGAAAAGATTATTATTGTGTAATTTCTATAACAAATCAACACTAAACAGTCAAATATATATTTAGATGGAAGTTTTTACGCTTTTAATGATTTACTTCAAATATTTTTTTGCCTTAAATCCATAATACTTAAATACACTGTTACTATGAGGCAAAAAAGTCAAATTATTATAACCCTGAATGCAAGATTTAACCTGCTGATTAATCTTTATAATTTACCATCCCCTTTTAAAATTATAGTCACGTGGGTTTTTGTCTGTTCCGTAAACAATTTTTTGACACCATGTAAAAATATTCTAAAACAGGACTTCATAATTATATGAAAATACAAAATAGATATTTACTGTTAAAGGTAACATTCTTTATACATAATCATTAATTCTTGTTATAGGTACTTTCTTTA